CAGTTTAGCTAGATCTTTGGCAGTTGTGACCGTGGATGTCTGAACAGACCATGTGCACTCTCTGGGACATTCTTCAGATCAGGTAAAAATATTCCTGAGACCAACTGACAGATTTTGGAAAATATGACTCTACTTCAAAAAAATGCTGTGTAAAAATGACATCTTCTTACTCCTCAGATCTGCTCCCTGGGTGTATTCTGAGTGTTGCCTGTTTCCTTTCATGACAAAAGTAAGATTTTCCTAGTTTTTACTCCTACTAATAGTAAAGAGACAATACAGACAATAGGGAATGTGAGCTACATTCTATTCTATTCATGTATTAACAGAAATACTTACTAAGCTCCAAGTACAGGGCCACGTTATAGTGTGCCCTCACCTTGAGGATGCCCCCTCGTGCCTGGGCACAGCATTGCAGGGGTCTTTCCTCACTAGCGCCTCCAGTAGGCCATCTGCCTTTGAGTGCTACTCAGCCCTCCAGCTGAGAAGTGTCTAGTGCAGACCCCTTCTGGGGTAACAAAGTCCTAAAGAATCAATCTGTCCTCTTGTCCCTGGGCTAAGCTAAACTCTTTCCTGGGGTCCCACTGCCTTTCCCCAGAATCTGTATTGATCACTTTCCTGCCCAGCCTACGTCTTCCTGAGGCCTCTAACCTCCAAATATCTTTGGCACTGGGGAAAGGCAGTGGGACAGGAGCTTCACAGGAGCTTGCATGAACTCTCTCAGTCTATTTATAAGCCCCACATGCCTGTTGCGTAATCATGTGACCCTTCTTTAGTTCTTAGTCCCACCCTCTCCAGCTGACAAGTAACTATCTAATTTCTAACCAGGTGAAATAAAAGTGACTAAGTGGGCTCTTAACCCTTTCTTGCCTGTGATGGGGGTTTCACCCCATCAAAGGCCAACACTGTGCAAACCCTTTGAAGGTAAGAGTAAAATGTGTCACTGACAGCAGAATTTGACTTACCAAACTTTGTCACTGGTAATGATGCCTGAGAAGGAATGAATCTAGCTTGATTCTCACAGCTCAGGTTAAGTTTACCAGACTAACAGTTAGAAAAAAAATATCATTTGTATCTGTAAAAGAGCAGAACTGAAATGGAAATCACTGACACACAATAAATATAAAACCCCACAATCTGTCTTTTTAAAAGCCACTTTTCAGAACAAAACCACCTTTTAAGCCTTGGCTTGAACTATCTTTCCAGACTGTTATTTTTAAGTCATATTCCTGTAGACACCTCTTTAAGGTTCTGACACAATATAAGATTTTGTATAATAATTAATTTAAATCAGGGGTTTAAAGATTCTGTAATATCACGGTGATATGTGTAGAATCAGATCCTAAATAGATTAGATAGAATATATAAGATAAAATAGATAGCCACTGCTTGGGAAATAATACATAGGGGATCTTATCCAGATTAATTTAGTGAGTGTTGTTTAATCTCTTCATACAGAACAATATCATTCAGTTTAATTCTATCAGCCCATCTTATAAAAATGTATGGAAAATAATGAAAGCATTTAAGTTTAGATCATTACAAAATTAGTCCCTTTTCATTAATGATACTTTCAGAATTGATACTTACATCATAGCTATGACAAAGACCTGGCTGAGATCAGGAAATGAGTTTGTGTCATTTAATGGTTATGTTCCACAAGTTATATTTTCTTTCATTATCCTAGAAATAAGGCCATTTCAGTGGTACAGCACAGGCTGCTCTACATCATTTCCATCTCCATTACTGTATTTTATCATCTTTGGTAAAGTTTGTTTAGATTTCTGACTGATTTTCTGCTGAAATCTCTATTTCTCAAATGTGATGTGCTATATAAGGTGCAGATCATCCTGATTGTTATTCATTCCAATTACCTGAAATAGTTATCTATTTTTTCAAACATTTTTATATACACATGCAGATATATTCTGTGAACAACATGCAGATGCTATCATTTTTAAATTTAATTAAAAATATTTCTACTTAAAACACATTAGAGATCATATTCTTGTCCTGGTTATTTCTGTAGGTTTTATCTTATTTTCAGATTACTTTTTGCTACTATATCAAATCTTTTATTTTAAAAAAGTTTCTAGCATTTATTTATTTGTGCAGAAAATAATCGGAATGTGAACCAAGTATAAACTGATGCAGTGCAGTGTTAATGAGTCTACAAAAAGACAACTTGAAAAAATGTCTTTCAGAGAAGTGTGAAGTGTCTCATTCATCAGAACAAATTGTTGATTCTGAAATCTAATTTTTGGCAATGTAGTAATTTTTCAGTGCTGATCAACAAAAACATTCAGCTCATGTGCTTATCCAAAATTTCTGGATGCAGAAATGGGTGTTGAAGGGGGGACCAGGGAAAGTTATTATTGTTAATTACTAAGATGGGGAATTAACAATTCAAGCCTCCCCAAAAATCCAAGTGAAGAAGTTCCCTGATCCACAAGGGGAAGGAGAGAAAAAGTATCTCTTCCCCAGTACCAAAAGCCTCAATCAATTCATGGATTCAAAAACCCAAACTGCATGCCACCATTCTTAATCTATGTCCCTTAATGAAACTACTCTTTATACAGCTGCAAAATCCTCCTGCTTCCCCCTGACAAATACTACAATGCAATTATGTGTAATCAATAAAAATTCTGTGTCATACTGAAATGAAAATTGGAGGCAATTAAAAACTGGAAAGCATTCAGTAATTCCATAATTGTACTGATTTTCATATCAACCAAATCATACAAGGAATAACATACTGACTGAATTATTAATTTTTATATTTAACTAAATCTCCCTGGTTTTCAATTTACTGGGAGTTGATCTATGATCAAAAGATTATATGAGCAAGGAATATGCATGGCTAACTGGCTTCCTCTTCAGCAAACTCCCTGAATACAAATTCTCTTACATCATGAGTTTCTCACTCAACATCTCCCCTCCATATCTAAAATTTGTTGCATTCCTCCTCAAGAAATCAGAAGACTGGGACCCTCTCTCAACTATTTTTTTATCACCAAAATCTCAGAGTCAATCTCAGTCATCAGTCAATAGCAACACAGTTACTTGCAATACTATTTAATTCAACCAAACATTCTGCAGATTATTGTAGTCCTCCACCTTGGTCACGTGACCACCCAAGTTAGAGGACTGAAACAATCTGCTGAGTGTTTGATTGAGTAACAGTGTCTAATGTGACTGCTTTGTTATTCACAGGGGGAATCCCCCAGTGATTGGCTAAGCTAGCTTTAGAGCAGTGTTGCAATAACAGAGTAGTGCAAAGCTGCTCAAATGCAGCCCAGAATCTGGTCTTACATTTTTAAAACCATTGACGGGCTTCCTACATGCAGCTTCACAAACCTTGGTCTGTATTTCACTCCTAACCATTCTTTACACTTGTCTAGCATTTATTTTTTATCTGTCCTTCTCACTGATGTGAGACCCTTCTCCTCTGCAGCTCCTACCATTTGGAACATCCTCCACTATTTCTTCACCTTTCACTTTCTTGGCTTGTTTCAAATATGGACATCTATATTTTCTCCCTGCTATTGATTTCTCTTCATGTCTAACATCTGATGCTATTAATTAAAATTTAATTTTGCAAGTGCAGAGAATTTTGAGCTACAGTATGTTCAAAAGATGGTATGTGATGTCACATATTGGATTATATTAATAAGGTAACCCAGCATTTTCTCATATAACATCTTTTTTAACATACTGTATCTCAAAATGCTCTCTTGATTGCAGAACTAAATGGTTAAACATCCATTTCATTTATTAATTTAAAACCTTTACCAGAAGATATATAAAGTGTATATTATGTTCAGAATATTTAGCAGGCTCATATATTCAAAATTGTTAAAAACAATTAGGATTATTTTTCCAAAAATGTGTATGTTTTTACCCAGCTAATTTATTTTAGAATGTATATTTTATATCTGGGAACAGAACTCAGTTAGAAAATGCATAGGACTCATTTTGATGGGTCTTAGTAAGTCCTTACAACGACAAATCCCCCACTGAAAAGGACTAAATAAAAATGGAGTAAAACTCTCCCAGGTGGCGCATAGCAGTCACCCTACAGACACTAACAACTCTGTTGCACAAAGGCCAATCCTACAAACCTTTACTTGCATGAGTAGTGATATAACTGACACCTGCCACATGTTGTTTATTCTCTCATGCTCTCCCCAAGGGAGAAGTGTGTGCTGTGTAGTGTCTTGTTTGGGTATGGTGTTTGTGTTTAGAAATGTGCCAGTGAGGTTTGCAATAGTCATTAGTTCCTGGGGTATTTCATTCCACAGTCTTAGACTAGCTCCTGAAAAAGTTCTGTCTTTTGCACAGATAAGCTTTATCCATATTGCAGGTTATGGTACACAGACCTAAGTACATTCTAAACTCTGAGTATGTGAGTAGACCCATTGAGCTCAATGCTATGCACATCTCTGTAGGATTGCGGCTACATTTCCAAACCCAGATTTAAGAGTTCCTATCTTGGATACATGCAAAGAGTGGCACTGGAAAGACAGGGATGGTTGAGCCTTGTTTATGCTTTAAGCAACATCTGACATAGCAGGAAGGATTCTGTTTCAGATCTTGGGGAGGTGAGTGTCCCACCTCCTTATATGCAGTGTATACCTTGGTTGGGATTAACCAAGATAAGGATTGGCAGAACTCAGACTTGGATTCCTGGGACTCACACACATATATAAATCAAAATAGAATTGAAACTGAAAAGCAAGCTAATGCTAATATTAAGCCAAATTATTTCTTTTTCTAATGCATGTGCAGTCTAACACAATTGCTTACACAAGTGGATCTACTTTTGCTAATCTAAAACAGAACTGTGTACAACACTAAACTAAATGGTCTCTACATACTAAAAATTTCACACCAAAGTGAAAAAATAAGGTACATCAAGCACACACTCATTACAAAAGCATGAAATGTAATGCAATGCTTCTATAGTCTCATGCTTTCATGTGGTTTTCCAAACCCTGACAAACCTGGCTCAGAATGGTGTTTCTTTTTCGGCAATGGTTTGTCATCAGTTATTGTACCATTCACCTTTTTCTGCTGGTCCTCCCATGTAACTTCTAGCATAAACCAAAAGAAATCAGAGCTTGTCAGAAACATTATGTAACTTCCATTATAAGACACCTAACATCATTTGGAACAGCTTAATCTAAACAGGTAAACTGTAATTGGCAGGCCAAAACTTGAGTTCTTTAATTACTTTTCTTTATCAAATGTCTTAAAATACAGAATAGGACATACAATGTATATTAATCCCCATACAATCTACCAACTATTTTGGTTGCTCTCTCTGCTATATTTAACATTTTGAATAGGAAAAAATGTATATTATCGTGCAGTGGTTCTCAACCAGGGGTCAGGGGTCCGCAATCAGGATTCAGGGGGTCCGCCAAGCAGGGTGGTATTAGACTTAATGGGGCCCAGGGCAGAAAGCTGAAGCCTTACTGTATAGGACTGAAGTCCGGGGTCCCCTGTGTTGTGGGGCCGTGAGCAATTGCCCTACTTGTTACCCCCTAACACCAAGCCTGGCTTTTATATGCAGAAAAACAGTTGTTGTGGCACAGGTGGTCCGTAGAGTTTTTATAGCATGTTGGGCGGGCCTCAGAAAGAAAAAGGTTGAGAACCCCTGTTATAGTGCACAGTGATTGTTCAGTTTTTAAAGATTAGTGTGTTTATAATCTACAGCGTTTTAGGATATTTTTATATTTCTGTAAGTTAAAAAGACCTTTACCAAAAATATTTTGGTAAAAAAGGCTTTGCAAATCTATAATTCAAACAAACAAAGAAAAAATGAAACCATCAACTATGTATGTTTCTTTTCAAATCAACAGCGTATTTTTAACAAATACATTATTTGAGTTACCTGCAGTATCCATTAAAATATTTATGCCAACTATAGTTGAGGTTGCCATTTTAACAAAATCATAAATATTTAGTGTTTTAACTTACAGTTCATGATAAAGCTTTGGGTTTGTTTTTTTTCCCATTTGGTATATTAAGGGTAATATATCACTCAATTAGCACTCTCATAATGTGTAAATAGCCTCCAGACTCCTATACTGTGTAAATGAGCATATCCGACCTGAACACCAAGGTAAGTTGTCAACAGACGCTTATGTACCCTCCGCCATCCAGGACACCATTCTCTTGATTTAGAAGGATTCTGAAATTTCTTTCTTTGGCTGTTATAATATTCTGGGACTAAAAGTTTACTCTCCATCTTTTGCTAGGGTTAAACTAGCCTCAGCAATCTCCTTTTTAGGTTTTAACGATTTTTTAACCTAATCTCTTACTAAAGGGGAATTTAGACTCATAGACTTTAAGGCCAGAAGGGACCATCCTGATCATCTAGTCTCAGCTCCTGCACATCAAGGCCACAGAACCTCACCCACTCACTTCTGTAATAGACCCATAACTTCTGGCTGAGTTACTAAAGTCCACAAATCTTGTTTTAAGTCTCAAGTTACAGAGAATCCACTCTAGTTTAAACCAGCAAGTGACTCAGGCCACAGAGTAACATGAAAAAACCCCAGGGTCTCTGCGAATCTGACATGGGGGAAATTTCCTTCCCAACTCCAAATATGACAATCAGTTAAACGCTGAGCACATTGGCAAGATCCACCACCTAGACACCTGAGACGGAATTAACTGTAGTAACTCAGAGCCCTGCCCATCTAGTGTCCTATCACCAGCCGTTGGGGATATTTGCTAATAGCAGTCACAGATCAGCCACCAACTATTGTAAGCAATCTCACCATACCATCCCCTCCATAAAGCTCAGTCTTGAAACCAGTTCGTTTTTCTGCCCCCACTACTCCCCTTGGAATGCTGTTGCAGAACTTCACTCCTCTGATGATTAGATATCTTTGTCTAATTTCAAGCCTAAACAGATGGCCATTTATATCCATTTGTTTTTGTGTCAGCACTGGCGCTTCTTCTTCCCTGGTATTTATCCCCCGGATGTATTTACCGAGAGCAATCATATCTCCCCTCAGCCTTTGTTTGTTTAGGTTAAACAAGTAAAGCTCCTTGAGTCTTCTCTCATAAAGTATGTTTTTCAGTCTTCTGTTTATCCTAGTAGCCCTTCTCTGCACCTGTTCCAGTTTGAATTCATCTTTCTTAAACATGGGAGACCAGAATTGCATACAGGATTCCAGATGAGGGCTCACCAATGCTTTGTATAACGGTAACAACACTTCCCCACCTCTACTGGAAATTCCTCACCTGATGCATCCTAAGACTATGTTATCCTTTTTCATGGCTGCATCACATTGGTGGCTCAGTCATCCTGTGATTGACCAATACACCGAGGTGTTTCTCCTCCTCTGCCACTTCCAACTAATACTCCCCCATCTTATAGCAAAATTTCTTGTTGTTAGTCCCTAAGTGCATGAACTTGCACTTTGCACTATTAAATGTCATCCCACTTCTATTATTCCAGTTTTCAAGGCCATCTAGATTTTCTTGTATGTTATTCCGGTCCTCCTCCGTATTTAGGGAAATACTCCCAACTTTGTGTCATCTGCAAATTTTATTAGCACAATCCCACTTTTTGTTCCAAGGTCATTGATGCAAATGTTCAATAAGGTTAGTCCCAAGACTGATCCCTGAGGAACTCCACTAGTAACTTCCCTCCAACCTGATAGTCCACCATTCAGTATGACCTGTTGTAATCTCCCCTCTAACAAGTTCCTTACCCACCTTTCAATTCTAATATTAATACCCATCTTCTCCAATGTAACTAATAATTTCCCATGTGGAACTGTATCAAATGCCTTACTAGAATCCATGTAGATTAGCTCTATTTCATTTCCTTTGTCTAAAAAATCAGTTATCTTTGCAAAGAAAGAGATCAGGTTGCTCTGGCACAATTTACCTTTTGTAAAATCATGTTTATTTTATCTCAATTACCGTTTATCTCTATATCCTTAACTACTTTCTGTTTCAAAATTTGTTCCAAGGCCTTGCATACAATTGAAGTCAAACTAATGGACCTCTCATTTCCTGGATCACTTTTTCCCCCTTTCTTAAACAGGTACAACCCCCAAATTTACAGATTCATTAAAAATCCTTGCTATTTGACTTGCAATTTCATGTGCTAGTTCCTTTAATATCGGCCTAAAGAGTTGGATAGCATTATGCCTCTGATAAATCTTTGTCTTAATTTTGGACTATTTGGGCATTTGCTTTGCTGACCCAGCAAATCATTTGGACTACTCACACATGTTATTCATGGGTATGTTTACAGGATCACACCCACAATCACCAATGGGGAAAACTCATGAGAGTAGTGAAGCACATTTCCCACTGTGTAATCAATTTGCCATAAAGGGGTATTATTCCACACTTCCATTGTTATTATAAAGGAGGACGAATACACCTTTCTGTCAAAATGTAGAAAAGCACCTGTACACATCCTTCAAGCCTTCTGATCTGATGCTGCTCCATTTCACTTTTCAATATCAGAAAAGCAACCCAAGCCTATTATGATGACTATATTACTAAACAGATTCTGTAATTCTCTGGTGATATAATATCTAAATTTAACTTCTGAAAATTCTGGAAGTATTCATTTAATGAAATGATCTTCCCCAGTTCTATCTATTTCTCTCCTATAAACAAACAGTGACTTAATCTCACCAGAGTATATGTACAACATCTGTAGTGCCATTTGAACTATCAATGCAATGCTGATAAAAACTAATACCGCTGGCATCTATGCTGATCGTTGGACACATCATGGAATGAAGAATAAAGTGTCATGTAATCTGACATTATCAAAAAGAGTGGTCACTATGGAAGTCACATCACAACACATATTTTGATGTTATACACATAACACTGAGGATGTTTTGAAGGCCAAGACTATAACAGAGTTCAAAGAAAGAACTAGATAAGCTCATTGAGGATAGATCCATCAATGGCTATTAGCCAGGATGGGCAGGGATGCAAAAGCATGCTCTGAAGTGTCCTAGCCTCTGTTTGCTAGAAGCTAGGAATGGGCAACGGGATGGATCACTTGATGATTACCTGTTCTGTTCATTCCCTCTGAAGCACCTGGCATTGGCCACTGTCAGAACACAGGATATTGGGCTAGATGGACCATTGGTCTGACCCAGTATGGCCGTTCTTATGTTCTTAATTTATGCTATTTTGGTGTAGAAAAAAATCAGTATAGGTAACAACTTACAAATTGACACTAAGGCCATACCTAGACTAGCAAAGCAGGTTGCTTTCTAAAATGTATTAGCCAACATGCTTTAATTAACAAGATTTTAAACAGTACTCTGTACCTACTATAAATAAGACAAGTCATGTTTAAATATGTATTAGCTGGTCACGGTCAACCTCAGGAGGGAGCCTACTTTCGTAGTATAGATATCGCTTATATAGAAGATGATGCAAAATGTAAAATTCCATGTTCCATAACGACTGGCATTTCAATTTTAAAGCTATTGCATTGCATTTATGATCAATTGTTTCAAGGCCAAGTAAGTCTGAAATGATTCTCTAAGATCAGATATGCAGACATTCTCAGAGGCATTAAAATAGATTTTTTTTCCAGTAGTGCTGAGCATCTACAGCAGCACCAGTTGGACTCATCGCCCTCATTAGGAGCTGTAGGCACTCAGCATCTATGAACATCAGGTCATTTATCAAAGTACCTAACTTTATGCACCTAAGTCTGAAAATGTTATCAGAAGCCTACAGTCCCTGTGGACTTGGCTAGCACATTTCAGTTCCCACAGGGGACCACTAAAATCCCACGCTACTGTGTATATGAAGTACATTAATGTTGGATATTTAACCAGACAAAATAAAAAAGAAGAAAGTACCACATGGCCAAGTTAACTTGGATGGGAGAACTTTAGTTTTTCCATTTTCTTTCATTTTAAATTTGTAACTTTGTTAAGTTCAACCCAAATCTTCTGAGGTACTGCAATCCACCATGCCAAAGGGGGTGTAACAATGATGGATCCAGCCAATGAAGGATTTTCTTTGCTTAGTGGAATTCATAGCAACTCCTATGCCACTGGGCTAGAGGATGTTGTCATTAAGG